CTCTGCCAGCTAACGATGACCTGCCATGGCACGACATATCCCACTTTCAGGCTCCCTCAAGGCGCTTTCCCGTCTCATTTCTCTGCCTCAGTCCATCTGGGACACACATCACACCTGGAACAAGCCTCTTTGCATCCTTTTCTCTCCTTTCACTTTTTCTAGAAGTTATCCATATTTAAGATCCACTGTTTCGATGACACCATCTTAGGCCCCTTTAGTTCCTATGGAGCCTTTCCTGAGCTCCTGCAGCCTCCACTGCCATTACTCATCATTAGCTCTGTGTGTCTTCCCTTTCCAGATGAATTGTAAGCACACAGAGAGAGAGATTGGACACATCTTCACATTCACTTTGGTGTAAAACACAGGGTCATAACACTACCACCACCAACAAAAACCCACACCTGTCAGGAACTGTTCTAAGGACTTCACAAATATTAACTCCTTTAAGCCTCACTATAACCCCAGGAGGTAGGTACTATTACTTCACCCATTTTCAGACAGGGTAAACTGAGGTAAAGAGAGGCTATATGATTTAGAGGTTAGTGACTAGTTAAGTGGTAGAGGCAGGACTTGAGCCCAAGCAGTCTGGATATAGTCCTTGCCCTTAAACTCTATGTTACATTCCCTCTCTAAGTGACTGCTATGTATATAGCAGACATTTAGATTTTAATTCCTATTACTTTTTCATTGAAAATACACATACACAGTGGAAAAAATTCGTATTGTACAAAAGAGTATGCAAGAAAAAGCCAGGTCAGTCTAACAGCCTAGATTTCTGGGGCCTAATCCCAAAGGCAATCACTCTTTCTTTTCTATCATTCGAGAATTGTTTTTCTGCACTTAGAAACCTACTTCATGTGTATCCCCTCTCTCTTTTTTTTTTTACACAAATGGGCACATATACACATTGTCTTGCATCTTGCCTTTTTCACTGAAATATTTCTCTGAGTTTGATGCATATCTGCACCTATGCTGCTTTTATTCAGTTGTAAGACACATATTTTCACACTTTAAAGATGATTTCATGAAGTCAGAGAATCTTGGTGGGCTTGGACTTCATCAGGAAACAGAAGTCACAAAAGGCTTTTAAACGTACAGCAGATGTCAAGGGTTAGCCCTGTAGCAATGTGCAGGCTGAATCGAGGAGACATCCAACATGTCATTTCTCTTATAATAGTAAATAGCTACATCAGAGGGTTGTTATGAGGACCAAACAAGGTATTATACACAAAGCACTTCACACCAAACCTGGCTAGCACAGTGAGTCCAAGGGATGAACATAGCACCTGACACACTGTTATGCCCAATAAGTTAGAGACTGTTATTAATTATATCTTCAAAAGCTGGCTCCACTTTCCAATCTCATTTCCCTCTACTCCCCTATTCATATCTATCCACCCTTCAGCCTAAATCTCCTGCAACTCACATACCTCAAACGTGCTCAGCTCTATACCTTTACAGCCGTCGTGGCCCCACCTAAAAGTCCTCTCCCCTTCCTGTAGTGCTGGACTATTTCCCACAGTACTCAGCTCAAGCACAGCCTTCACCTGACAGTCTTCCCTAACAACTGCAGCTGGATTCTCTGAACAAGCAGTTTGGGAAAAGCCTATCTGTCATGACTTCCCACCTTCTGGTTCTCAGCTCTGGTTCCCAGTGCACCCAGGAGCAAGTCGGTTCAGGGGGACTGATTCAGGCTATCTAAGCTCAAAAGGTGAATGATGTATTAACCAGAAGGCCAGTCACAAAGTTTATAAATAATGATGAGAGCTAACACCTATTGAGCTCTTACCGGGGGCCAGGCAGCAAAGAGGAAGGTGTTACTATTATCCCCATTCCTCGGATGGGGAACCAGAGAGGTTAGCCAGCAACTCAAGTCCAGGATCTGACCCAGGAGTCTGGATGCAGACCACTCTCAACAGGAAATCTCCATGTGAAGCCATGTTCTAATCAAAGGGCATTAGGATCATGGAAGCAAAGCAAAGGAAAGATTCTCTCCACTAGAGGCATCAACAGAGATGCACCCATCTGTCTGGAAGAGCAAAGGCCCAGTGGAGGACTGCACAGAGCTCCTCTGGCCCAGGTCCCCAGAAGGTACTACAGACACATCACCCAATTCTTCTCTTGGACCCACCACCCCAATTTCCATAGACATCATCCCAACCCTCTCTTTCTAGAATCAAAATCTTTCTTCTGAGGATATAAAATTAAGCATCTGGCCACAAACACATTCCAATCATGCCTTCCTAGGGTTATAGCTGGGTCATTTTGGTTGAACTTAAAAGTTTTCCCTGAAATTCTCAAAACTACATTTACAAAATGTCTCTTGGCTTGTATCTTTTCTACAGATAGCTGATTTGCCATTTATTCTGATTTCATTCTCAGATGATCATTGATTCATTCAACAAATACTTAATTGTTCCCCAAACACTGTGTTCTAGGCCCTGGAGATAGCAGCAGTGAACAAGACAGGCAAGATCTCTAAAACCTGTCTCCTGCTTCTAGGCACTTATGATACTTGATGGCAACTGCTTATTTGGTTTTCTTTCCTAGGCTGTGCCTTCCAGCTCTGTATTCCAATCCTCCAGTACAGTAACTGGCCTATACTGTAAATACTGCATAAATGTGAGATAACTAAATTCATGACTAAATTCATTGGGTCTCATTTTTCTAATCCAGGGTGGGATCAAATTATGTCTGAAGTCCCTCAGAGCAAAGGTACAAGTTTAAATCAAATTGTAGGAATAGAAAGCAAATGGCAATAGAACCCAAATCAAGAAGGAAGAAGAGGGAATTCCCTGGCGGTCCAGTGGTGAAGACTCCTTGCTTCCACTGCAGGGGCGGGGGTTCAATCCCTGGTTGGGGAACTAAGATCCTGCATGCTGCATGACACAGCCAAAAAAAAAAAAAAAAAAAAAGAAAGAAGGAAGAAGAGTTGTGGTAAGTCAGCTGGTAAGAACTTTAGAGTCATGAAGGACAGGCCACCTTGGGAAGCAATGAAGGGCTTCATCACCTGCAGAAAGTATGGCCTCAGAAACATGTCCAGGGGTCAGTTAGAGGGAGAGAAAGAAATCACTTGCATCAAAGTCTGAGCTGGGGTCACCGACTGGAAAGAGGATGAGGGGGTGAAATGGGTCTCTACCTAGAAGTCACATGCTGGACAAGTGGGAAGGAGCATGCATTGGGGGAAAGAGGTAGAGATATTAAGCTGGGCCTTAGAAAATGCTTCCAGGCAGATGTGGGAAGAAGAGAAGCAGCAAAGACAAGTGAAAAAGCACAGTCACAAAGTTAAGCTAATGATCACAATAGCTTAAGTCAAGAAGGCCAACCAAGAGGAGATGCACAACAGCAAGAAAGTGTGGCTCACCATGCCAAATACTTATGGTCAAGGTCAAGGGAAATGAGAAAGCAGCAGCCACTGCATCTATCAATCAGAGGACCCTCAGGAGGACAGTTTCATTATGGATAAAGACATTTGAAGCACAACCCCTGAAACATTCAGGCTCTTTGTGAACTTAGAACTAAGAGGAAATGGCATCCTGCTTTTTCTGTAACTCCAAAAAAGCAATTCCTTATTCAAACCAACACTCTCTCCACCTTGGAAGGTCATCATTTTCCACTAAGCAGAAAGTCACAGGAGGGAAAAGGAGAGAGTGGACACTCAACTCATGTGATGCCCCAGTCCACTAGCTCTCAGAAACAATCATTTTCCTATAGACTTGTTAGACCCGCTTGACAAAAAGCTGCTGGTGTATTAGGCTTCGGGTTTTCAGCAGAATAAACATTTAGTAAAATTTTCAGCAGAATCATGTGCAACTTGTTTAAAAATTTTTAAAGAGGATGCTTAAAACATGTTGTCTTCCAAAAATCCAGAGATAATTTTAGATTGAAAAATCTAGGCTTGCCAAGGGAATCTGAGAACTTTTCTATCTTGGTCTCCAATGCTAACCTACGTATTCGTGTGCAAAAATAGAGGAAGATTAGAATCTCAAATGCCAGACTGAAAAGTTGCCACAACAAACCTGAACTCTTCATATGGAGTTTGTTATCTTGTCAGCAAGATAGCAAATGAAACAGCAATAACTAAACTTTTTTTTTTTACTTCAAAAGAAAAAAGTCTCAAACGTGAAATACATCCTGGACTTGCAAAGGAAAATGATTTTAAAAAAAGATATTGTGAATGGAATTATAAAACAGCATACACAAAATCTAAATATCAAATCTGTAAGTAGTCCTTTACAAACACAAACTTAGAACTTTAGGTCTAAAATATGATAAAACAGCAATTATAGTTTTTTCAGTAAAGTTGGGAAAATTAACCTATTTGGAAAATACATATTTTCAACCAAAACCAAATTTTAAGTAAATTTAAAACAGCTAAAAGTAAAAATAAAACCATGAAACGAGAAACAAATATGGATGGATGTTATGAATATTGGGATGGAGAATAATTTTTGAAGTGTCAACAAAGGAAAAATAATACTATGTATTTTTTAAATGAATGTTACCTTTGACCTCATTTGTAAATTTAACCCAAAACAACAATCAGACAAATCCTTTTGGCAGAACTGTTTATCTTGTGACGAATTAGAAACAATCTACACGTTAACTTGGTATATGTTGGCTTGGTTAACTTATGATATATGTATATATGTATATATTATGTATATATGATATACGTATATATGTATATATTATGTATATATGATATACATTATGAAGTCCATAGAAGTGATAATATCTGTATTTATTGATATCACCAAAATGTTAGCAATGGCTGTCACTGAGCGGTAGGTTGGTGGATGACTGTCACTTTAAAAAGTATTGTCACAACACTTTTTGTGCTGTCTTGAATGTGAAGAAAGGAGAATGAGCTGCTTTTATAATGGGGGCGAGGAGCGGAAACAAGCTATTTTCAAATTAACCCCCCCCCTCCAAGCTGAGTATTTATCTGGCAAAATTTGTGAGGAGAATAAACAAAATTCTTATCATGCCAACCAGGCATGCTTCTTTCCTCGCACCGCGCGGAGCAGGAAGACACACCCCTGACCCTACGCTCGCCCCTCAGCCGTGGGTCCTTCATCCTCAGCCCCGGCCCTCCGGCGGTCCCCGCGGAACCTCCCCTGGCCCGACTGCGCCAGGGGGCTCAGCGGGGCCGGAAAATCGTGTTCCTCGGGGCCCGGCCCGGCGGGAAAGGTGCGCGCAGCCGACCGGCAGCCGCGGGGCGGCGTGAGGGCCGCGTCCCTAGGCAGTCCCGGTAGACCCCGGGACCCACAGGCCGCCGTCCCTCCGCTAACTGCTCGGCGGGCTTCCGGGAGCGGGTCCCGGCGCCAGCCCGACCTCCCCGGCTCCGGCGGCCCAAGGAGCGCCCCCCGCCCTTCCTGCCCCGCGTCCGCGGGGTCCCCGCCGCGCCCCCGGTCTCAGGCACGAGCCAGGAGGCCCCTCCAGGCTTCCGTCCGGTCAGCCAGCGCTCCCAGAGCCCGGCGTCCTCCACAGCGGACGGGCAAGGGGCGGGAGCCGACGGCCCTGAGCCCTGCGGCCCCAAGCGGAGCGGCGCCCCGCAAGCTCGTCCAGTCGCCAGCCCCGGCCGCAGCCCACCACCCACCCACCACCCCCTGAGCCCGCCCGCCTGCGCCAGGCGGCACCCGCTCGCGCCCGCTCCTCACCTGCGACGCGCCCCGGCCCCCAGCTCACCGCCCGAACCGGCTGTGTACACCGGAAGTGACGTCTCCTGGCAGGCCCCGCCCCCGCCCCAGGCGGACGCCGGGTGGCTGCAGACCAAGCGGCTAGGAGCGGTCCCCAACCATTCCCTGCGCGAGCGGGGCGGGGAGGGCCCTGCACCCCCTTGCCTAGGGACGGAGGACTTCCAAATGGGACAGCCAGGGTGGGGGGTTGAGGACCGGTGGCCAGAGTCCGCAGGGCCACCCTGGTTCTCCACTGTGACTTAGCCTCCGGGCGGGAGGGGTCAGCTGTGTCCTCACAGACTTATTATGAAAATTAATTACTGAAGAATTGAGCACTTACTAGATGCCAGGTCCTCGCAGGAGCTGTAGGAACTGGATAATGCCCTCTCCCTCATGCGTTTATTCTCTAGTGGTGGAAACAATCATTGTTATAAATGCGCTTGATGATATAGTGCCAATTGCGACAAGCGGTAGGAGGGGAAAGTGGAAGAGGGAGGGAGAGCGTCCCTTGACCTAGTGAAGGAGGGTTATCAGGGAATTCTTCGCTCAGGAAAAGAGCAGGAGTTGAGGTTCTAAGAGGGAGGGGAGTGGGGAAAAGAAAAAGTTGAAGAAGCAGGGAGGAAAGGACATTATGGCAGAAGTAACGGACATTATGGCAGCAGGTGTCTTTGGTGGCTTTGTGTTTAAGAAACGAAGGTAGTGAGAAAGTCTTACCTGAGAGCAAGGGGTGATTTTACCATACTTGTGGGTTTAAAGGGATTACTTGGGCTACATTGTGGAGAAGGACTACAGAGGAGAGGCAAGAGTGGATGTAGACTTGTATGCCCATGTTCATAGCAGCATTATGCATAAAAGTGAAAAAGATGGAAGCAACCCAAGTGTCCATCGATGTATGAATGGATAAACAAAATGTGGTATATCCATACAAAGGAACATATTCAGCCTTAAAAAGGAAGGGAATTCTGACACATGCTACAAATGGATGAACCGTGAAGACATTACACTAAGTGAAAGAAGCCAGTCACAGAAAGATATATTCTATAATTCCACTTATATGAAGTACCTAGAGTAGTCAAGTTCACAGAGACAAAGTAGAATGGTAGTTTCCAGGGACTGGGAGGAGGGGCGCATGGGGAGTTTGTAATTAATGGGTACAGAATTTTGGGTTGGAATGATGAAAAAGTTCTGGAGATGGATGTGGTGATGATTGCGCAACAATGTGAATGTACTTAATGCCACAAAACTGTACACTTAAAAATGGTTAAAATGGGGGACTTCCCTGGTGGCGCAGTGGTTAAGAATCCGCCTGCCAATGCAGGGGACACAGGTTTGAGCCCTGGTCCAGGAAGATCCCACATGCCGTGGAGCAACTAAGCCCGTGGGCCACGACTACTGAGCCTGCGCTCTACAGCCCGTGCGCCACAACTATTGAGCCCGTGCGCCACAACTACTGAAGCCCGTGCGCCTAGAGCCTGTGCTCTGCAACAAGAGAAGCCACCGTGATGAGAAGCCTGCGCACCGCAACGAAGAGTAGCCCCTGCTTGCCGCAACTAGAGAAAGCCCCTGAGCAGCAATGAGGACTAATGCAGCCAAAAAAAGAAATTGGTTAAAACGGTAAATTATATGTATATTTTACCATGATAGATAGATAGATGGATGTAGAGATCGGTTAGTAGTCTATTTCAGTTGTCCAAGCAAAAGATGATCCCGATGTAAACCAGGACCTCCACATTTTTTTGTTCTTGAACATCTATCAGGAAAAATGTTTGAATATCGTCCAGATTTATTTTACTTATAAATTATATGCACTACACTACTAATATACTATTTACATAATGGAACATACATTAAAAGAATTTTAAAAGATAAGTCTTAAATTCTAATATTTTCTTCCTCTACCCCAATAGATTGCCTTCTTACATTTGTAGCTGTGTGAATCTCATTTTGAAAGCCATTCACAGACTATGGTAGTGGCAGTGGGGAATAAAGTCAGTGGTTGAACTAGACATGGAGGGTTGGAAAGAGGAGGGAATCCTAAATCTCTCCTGGGTCTCTGGGATGAGCCATTGGAGTGGTGACACTCAGTGCTGGGAAGCTCCTGAAGACCACATTTGGAAGGGAGGAAGGCAGGAAGAAGGCCATGAGTGCCGTTGTGAACATGACATCAAAGAAGAGGCACCAAGGAGGCAGTTGGGGCTGGAGGTCTGGAGCTTGGGCTTAGGGGGCTGTTGAAGCTGTGGGTAGGAGCTGAAGGTGGGTGTAGATTGAGGGAAGACTTTTTTGTGGTTGGTTTTTTAAGGTGGAAGAAACTTAAACATGTTTCAATGTCAGAGACGAAGATCCAGTTGACAAAAAGAGACTGAATATACAGGAGAAAGATGATGTGATTCATCTTGTGAGGTTCTGAAAAGGCTGGAGGGAGTCTAAAATGCTTGGCCATGGGTTTACCTGAGGCTGCAGTAAAGAGTGAGGGGAACTTGCAGACAGAGGTGTGAGGAGAGTGAGAAAGGTCTGAATGCGGAAAGGAAAAATGTGGTAGAATTTCCAAATTGTACTGAGGATCTATTTCGGGTTGATAGAGCCTTCTCTCATGTTAACTGCCTTGCCCCAGCAGCTTTCAGGTAAAAGTAAGAAGATGGAGAAAGGCTTCACCTGGGGGTTGAATAACAGAGAGAGGGGTGAGTGTTACTGACATAACAAGCTGTGGAACCCAAGCTACAGGAGAAGGGATGTGACGTGGAAGAGGACAGCTGGGTTGGAGGAAGTGTCCCCGGGTACTGGTGTCATCGTACCTATGTAGGCTGGAAAAGGGATCAGAGATGATGGTGCCCGGCTTCTGAGTGGGCCAAGTGTGGCTCCTGCAGTCTCAGGACAAGCCCATCTCTTTTTTTCTTTTTGGCATGCGGGATCTTGGTTCCCTGACCAGGGATCGAACCCGCCGCCCCTGAAGTGGAAGCACCGAGTCTTAGCCACTGTACCACCAGGGAAGTCCCAGGACAAGCCTATCTCTTGTTCGGAGGTTCTCCTAGCTCCTAATACAGGCCCCTCCAAGCCTCTGGTGGCCATGCCTAGAGGTACCTGATAAACACTGGATGGGGGCTTTAAAAGGGCCCCCTGGCAGGCTCTGACCTGCACACCCAACCACCGTTGCTCACTTCACTCCAAGCTTCATGATCCCAGAGTAATGTGCTGGAAACCACTCGTGCCTGGCACCATCTGGGCCCTTCTCTAGACTTCAGTCCAGGACCAGGAGGTTCCAGAGACCTATTCAGCCATGCGTGCAGTTTGTTTTTTTAAAAATTTTTTTGACCGTGCTGCATGGCATGAGGGATCTTAGTTCCCTGACCAGGGATTGAACCTGCACCCCCTGCACTGACAGCGCAGATTCTTAACCCCTGCACCGCCAGGGAAGTCCCGTGTGCGCTTCCTATTGGAACTCAGTATGGACATTGCCAACCTTGGGGCCCCTTTGGTGGCGTCTGTGGTGCTCTGAGCACCAGGCTGTCTTGGACCTCTCAGACTTACCTGAGGACATCTTGTATTGTGGATATATCAAGTCTGGTTTGTGAGCACATCTATAACTATCATACCCACCTCCTAGAGCTTTGAACTATTTTCATTCATCAAACGCACATACATATGGAGAGGAAGGGAAAAAACATCCATGTACCCACCACACAGGTTTGAGACATTTGTCACTTCATATCACCTCTTTATTCCAAGCTCCCTGACACCAGAGTGCCCAAAAGGAGGATGGAGCCCACAGGTCTAGAGGTGGAGGCTGGACCTTCCTGGAGCCCCCATGTCCTCAGGTACAGAAGCTTTGATTCAGCTCTGCAGAGAGGTCTACGGTTGGAGACTCAGCATGCACAGGGGGGTGGGATGGTGCCTCAGAGACCACCAGACAGACACCTCAACTTGCCCCTCAGGAAGCCAAGAAGGCCCAGGCCAGGAAACAAAGGCCTCTCCCTGAATCCACCTGCCCTCCTGCGTATTGGTTAAAGGCAAAGTTGGAGCCAGACCCCATGGAAGCGATGGGAGCCTCGGAGGTTGTTCTGTGGCAGGAGTGAGCAGAACAGGGTTTCAGGAGCTCCTCAGTGACCCAAGAGCACTGCGTTAGTGAGATGGGCCAGAGGTGCACCTTGGCCTTGACCTGAGGTGCCTCCCCTTGTCAAGGAAAACAAAGCTGGTTTTCTACGTCTAGCTTTTATGAGGGCTCCACATTCCTAACATCAGCAGAGCAGCAGAATAGGAGCATCCCACAGAGAGGGGCTCATAAGGGATTAGAGAAATGATTTTCTTAAACAGCTGAAGTTATTACTGTTGGCTTGTGTGCTCTTTATGCAGTCAAAGCCAGGGCTTCCAGGCTGGGCTTTTACCTGTTGGCTTTAGTGGGCATGTCTGAAAGAAGAGCGTTCAGGGAAGAGGTTTTCACAGCCAGCCGAGTGTTCTTGGTGGTGATGGTTGTGGGGAGGGGGTGGGCAGGGGCAATGGGGTTGAGTTTGGAGAGTAACTTTTCTCCTTTACCTTACTGGTCTTGCTTGGGCGGAATGTGAAAGCTGCAAGATGGGCTGTGAGCCCCAGAAAGGGTAGCTGCATTCCAGAATCCACAGGATTTGGGAGCCAGTCTGGAGAGGGCTGGCCAGACATTCTGGGCACAGAGCAACTGGCTGGCTGCTGCGTACGGAGAGACCTGGGGCAAGGCCAGTCTAGTCTATTGAGTGGTGTGCCCCAGGCAGGAAAGGGGGTGAGGGCAGCATGGGTCATGTGCCAAAGGGGAAACTTCTGCCCCAGTGTCCAGGTCGTCTCCCTGAGGAAGTCGCTCCTCACCCCTCCCTTTCCCCGTAACCATCTGAGCATCCTGTTGTTCTTTCTCCATTTCCACCCTCCACTGGCTGGAAATGGCTGTGCTGTGGCCAAGAAGCCCTTGCCAGGCTGAGCCGTCTGCTTCTGTCTCACCCCCACCTCTCAGATCCCAGGTTGCCTTTTGACACTTCTGAGGGTCTGGGGCTGGCCAGGGGCCTGGGAGATCCCTGATGGGTGGGCTGGACCCCAGGATTCCAGGCCCCTTCCCCTGCAACCAGGACAGGTTGCCTGGTACCACCTTAGGGAACATGTAAGATACATGCAGGCAGGGGGAGCTGCTGGGGGACTCCCTGAGGGCTCTCCAGGGTGAGGTGAAGCAGAAGGGGCTGGATGTGTGTGGGGTGGGGGAGGGGGAGCTGCTGGATGCAGTAGGGACCACCCTAGAGGCTGTGCATACC